GGGGGGGTGGGGGGGAGATTGGGGGGCCACGGTGGGGAAGTGGTTTTTACAAAATGAACTAAAAAAAAAAAGTTTCAAAAATTAAAACCCTAAAGAATGCATAAAGTGACCCTTGCACTTGATTTTTTTTGTTCTCGCTAACAGACTCGGTGACGTGGGACGGCCGCTCCAGCACCGATGTAAGACTTGAATTGTTGCATACAATGGTTGACTCCGGATCTGTAAGTGAGTGAATGAGAGAGAGAGAGAGAGAGAGAGAGCTCTGAGAGAACTGTCCTTGAGATAGGGTTGCCAAGTGCTTACCTGTTCCGGAGCGGGGGAGTCCAGCCTTGCTCCGGGAGTCTTCGTGCATGCGCAAAGCGCGCACATGCCGCGACCACGTCACACGGAAGTGACGCAAGCACACTGGGGACATTGGGGGTGGGGCCACAATCATCCAAGGGAAAACCATAGAGTTTCCCCTCGGATGATTGTGGCCCCGCCCCCAACGTCCCCGACTTGCTTGCGTCACTTCCGTGTGACGTGCTTTGGGGGTCAGGTTCCCCCCGGGGGCCCGATCCGGCGGCGGCGGGGAATGGGCCTCTCGGGCGGGGGTTTCCCCGCCCCCTGGGGGGACTTGGTATCCCTACTCCTGTCAAGAACTGGGAGTGCAATGGGGCTTCCTCTCTTACCCGGTTGACACCTTTGCTTGGAAGCCAGTTTCAAAGACAACAATTGTCCTGACTCCTGACTAGCCCGGGTCATCCAGGTGGGGCCCTGGGAGGCTTATATCTCGGAAATGCTGTTGGTCTCTAAAGTGCTATGGGATTCGAATCCAGCTCTTCTACTGCAAACTATCTCCACAGGGGGTATTTGGTAGAGGTGTCATAGTTCCTGGGCACCTTTCTTGTGGGTCCCTGAACAAAGCTTGTCCGGTGGCACCTTTAAGACCAACAAAGTTTTATTCTGCATATAAGCTTTCATAGAATCATAGAATGTTAGAATTGGACCTTGCAGGTCATCTAGTCTAACCCCCTGCACTCTGCAGGAGCACAGCTGAAAGATAGCCCTACAACCAGTGTTCCCTCTAAGCTGTGGAGTCCTGTGAGCAAAAATTCTACTTCGTGAGTCACTAGCATTAAAGTTGTGAGCGAGCCATTTGGCAACTGCCCAAATCAGTTTGCTCTGCCTCCTTCCTGAGCGAAGACAAAAAATGTGTGAGCTGGAGGCTAAGAAACTGTGAGCTAGCTCACCCTAACTCATCTTAGAGGGGACACTGCATCCTGTTCTGTTGATGGCTTCTGTGACAAAATCAACGAAACCCCGCCTCTAGGGACACGATAAAGGTCAGCCTGCCTAGAAATATACATTCAGGGTGCAGCGCTCCCAACCCCGGCAGCTCATATCCCCCACTTACGTGGATTGGCCAATGAGATTACCAATGTGGAGGTACGTAGCTGTAGGTAGGGGCCCCCTGAGCCCTGTACGTTGGCACCGAGACTGGATGTGCTCCGATGGCAGTGTGTTGCGGAGTGGTCAACAGAGTGCCTGGAGGAGGGAGAGAGAATCAGGACGGACCAATCACAGGCCTTTGCCTTCTGACGTTCTAAGCTTTCATGACCCCAGCAAGTGCTGAGCCAAGATCCCTCAACGGCTGAGATATTCCCTTGGAATAGACAGGGCTTGGATTTTTGGGGGGGGGGGGGGGGGGGGGGACCGATGCTGCAGGCAACTCTCTGCAAGGCAAATTACCCATGGTACTCTATCAAGGATGCAGAGAGGTTGGCTACAGTATCCTGGCTTTCAAGTGTCATTAATCTTCTCCTTATGGTGTAGAGCAGGGTCCCCCATCCCTTTTGAGCCCAGGGCACCTCTGGAATTCGGACACAAGCTGGTGGGCGGAACCACAAAAAGGCCACCGTGGGAGCTGGAGTCACACACAAAGGATGCCCAAGTAGAGAGGACAGGAGAGAATAAAACTAACACTACAGGGGGAAAGGAGAGCCCTGACCTATTTGTGAGCCGCCCTGAGCCCGCTTGCAGGGAGGGAGGGCTATAAATTAAAATAATAAATAAATAAGATGGAATAAAACTAAAAATATACTCGGAAAGAGGAGTGAGAGAGGATAAAACAAACACTATACTGGGAAAGAGGAGCGAGAGAGAATAAAACTAGCACTATACTGGGAAAGAGGAGCGAGAGAGAATAAAACTAGCACTATACTGGGAAAGAGGAGCGAGAGAGAATAAAACTAGCACTATACTGGGAAAGAGGAGCGAGAGAGAATAAAACTAGCACTATACTGGGAAAGAGGAGCGAGAGAGAATAAAACTAACACTACACTGGGAAAGAGGAGCGAGAGAAAATAAAACTAACACTACACTGGGAAAGGGGAGTGAGAGGGAATAAAACTAACACTACAGTGGGAAAGAGGAGCGAGAGAGAATAAAACCAACACTACACTGGGAAAGAGGAACAAGAGAGAATAAAACTAACAATATTGTGGTTGCTGCCACTGAAACGACGTTATTTTATTTGTGCAGCCAAGCAGATCTCTAAGTGCCAATCAGAAGTACTGCTGGGCAGGAGCCCCACTTGACCCCACCCACTTTCTAAATACACCTGGGCACTGGGAAAGGCATCGATGTGCATTGGGGACCACAGGCACTACATTGGAGATCCCGGTAACTTGACAGAATCCCAAAAAGAAAAAAAAGTAATTTATATAATATAACATTCTGGTTGACTAAAAATCCATGGTCCAAGGTTTGGAATGCTACAGAGGCCAGGAGGAGAAAGGTGGATGGTATTGGAACACAGCCACCACCCCTGCGGAAGCAGACCTGGGATCCATCTACTTCAGCCTCCTGTTCCCTCCCACAATGACCAGTCAGATGCCCCAGGATGGCCTGCAGGTATATCACAGAGGCCAAAGCTTCCCCCTCTTGCCCACCAGCTACTGGTATTCAGAGGTGCACTGCTACTGGACATGGAAGTTCCACTTAGGTGTCAAGTTTAATAGCCACTGATGGACCTCTCCTACCTAAATTTGTTTAAATTTGTTTAATCCCCCCTCTAAAACCATTTATCATTAATTTAAATGCCATAAAGACTGCAGATACTAAGGGCAGGGGTGCATGCCCAACTACACAGATCCAACTACACAGATCCAGGACAGTGGTGCGTGCGCAACTACACAGCCCAACTACACAGATCCAGGACGGTGGTGCGTGCCCAACAACTATGAGTTCCAGAACTCGTTTGCCTGCTATAATCCTGCTCAGAGACCACTAACCCCCAACCCCCGGAACAAAAGCTCTGGGCCAGGATCAGTTACGAAAGTCCCTTGAATCCCATACCGCAGTCGCTGGAAATCTCATCTAGTCTTCAGCAGATATTATTTTTTGCACAGGATAGAAATTTGCTTTTTAAGGGAAAAGCTGTGACACTTGGGGAGCCAAGTTCAGAGGGCCTGCAGGGTAATGGATGACACCCCCCCCCCCACAGCCCTACGAAGAGGTTTGTGGATTTGAGGTAAGGCCACACGGCAATGTCATGTGGACTCTATTGCAGGGGAACCCAGCCTTTCAAAGCCTGTGGGCTCTTTTGGAATTCTCGAGAGTGCCACCCCAAAATGGCTTCCACAGGAGGCGGGGCCAAACTAAAAATGGCTGCCCTGGGAGGCGGAGCCAGGCACAAGACCTCGTTTTGCTACAAAGCCGCAGAAGGGGGAACAAAAGAACCAAAGGGAACTCGGGGGAGAGGGGAGAGAGAAAGAAAAGTGTGAGCAAGAAGAAGGAATGCCTGAAGGGGGAATGTAACCACGATCCCAGGTGCTTATTGATCCTTGCGATCCTCTAGCGGATGCGGTTCTCAACCTGTGGGTCGCGACCCCTTTGGGGGTCGAACAACCCTTTCACAGGGGTCGCCTAAGACCATCGGAAAACACAAACTGTTTTTGTGATTAGTCACTATGCTTTAATTATGTTCAATTTGTAACAATGAAAATACATCCTGCCTATCAGATATTTACATTACGATTCGTAACCGTAGCAAAATTACAGTTACGAAGTAGCAACGAAAATAATTTTATGGCTGGAGGGGTCACCACAGCATGAGGAACTGTATTAAAGGGTCACGCGGCATTAGGAAGGTTGAGAACCACTGCTCTAGTGGATGCGGCTGACACTGCAGCTGCGGAACATCTCTTCATTTGACCAAGGGATGCTAATAACAATTCCTTTTTTTAAAAAAAAATCTTTAGTGTTTAATTTCATAAAACATTCCATCACCAACACCACCCATGTGGGACCTCCAGGCAACAGATACATAAATAAAATTCCATACAGTATTATATCACAATCAATCCAAGTACAACTCTATTGCTCTATTAAACTTCCATCTTAATCTTATAATCAAATTAACCTCTCAATTTCCTATTAACTGACTAATCATCCCAATTTTTTAAAACTTTCCCAAATACCCTGCCATCCTTCTAAACCAGTCCTCCTCCTGTTCACTAACCTTTAATCCATTTATTCTACGTATCTTCATCGTAAGATACTCTAAGATTATTATATTATTCATTTTATCCCTCCAATGATTAATCGTCAGTTCCTCGGCTTCTTTCCAATTCTTTGCTATCACTTGTCTTGCTGCTACTATCAAATTAATCCATTTACATTCCTCTTTTAGCCTTAACCCTATACCATCCAGACTAATAAGTGCCATTGCTTTAGATATTCTTACCCTTATAACCAGGGGTCATTTCATAGAAAAAGAGCTAGGGGAACTCATTAGCATAACTCATTAGCATATGCCACACCCCCTGACATCACTGGAAGTGTGTCATAAGGCCACACCCCCTGACATCACCGGAAGTGTGTCATAAGGCCACACACCCCGCCCCCAACGGTCAAGGCCGACGGGAGTGCAAGGAAGCCCCGCGAAGGCCCTCCCTGGCCCCAGGCAGGCAGGGGTGGGGAGAGGCAGGGAGGAAGCAACTTACCCTCCCTCTTCTCCTGCCTCCTCCTGGCTGAATGAGGGCCGGAAGCGGGGCGGACGGAAGCAGGGGGCGGGGCTTCGTCATGTGCCCCGCCCCCCGTACCTCACCCGGGGGAACTGCGATCCCCCGCGATCCCGCCCGAAATGACCTCTGCTTATAACAATTCCTGACTGACAGTGGCCCCACCCGTCTTCTGAAAAGCCCAGCAGGTGCCGGAGAAGGGACAGTGGCACTTTGGTGCCCGTGGGCACTGTGTCGGGGAACCCTGTTCTGTCGTAACAGTGACTGAAACAGCCTTCCGTTCTCACCTGCCGACATTGCCATGGTGGTTCCGGCAACCATGCCCATGGCCACGCCGTTGGTTCTGGGGGCGGCCACAGGAGCCGGATAAATAGCCGAAGGGATGCTGTTTGGCTGGACCACAGTGGTGTGATGGATGACGTGAGGCTGCGCCGCGTACACCGGCTGCGTGTAATATGCTCCCTGTGTGGAAGGAGGAACAGAAAGAGACCGCTCGGTCAGCAGAGAGCTCTTGCAAAAAAAATCCAGCGGCGTGTGATTTCGGTGATTTATATCCCGCTTCTCTGTCCTTTGCTCCAAGCGGCGTACACCTCTATAAGATTCCAAGATACAGATTAAAAACCTCATGTACAACATCAGAAAGAGAATCAGACAGGGAAAAAATCTCTCAGCCCTCGGTAAAAAGGTAAAGGTTCCCTTGCTCGAAAGCCAGTCGAGTCCGACTCTAGGGTTGCGGTGCTCATCTCCGTTTCCAAGTTGAAGAGCCAGCGCTGTCCGAAGACGTTTCCGTGGTCATGTGGCCGGCATGACTAAACACCGAGGTGCACGGAACGCTGTTACCTTACCACCGAAGGGGTACCTATTTATCTACTTGCCATTTCTTGCTTTCGAACTGCTCGGTTGGCAGGACAGGTAGTGAAAGGCAGGGTATAAATCCAATCTCTTCTTCTCTTCTTCTTCAGATGCACCAGCCCACACTAGGTGCCCAGGCTGACGATCCTGCACTCTCTGGGTGCTTCAACGAACCATCAGCGACCGACCAGACTCAAATCCTGCCACACTCACGCACACACTGACACTAGGACAACATACCTAAAGGACCATACAGTCTGACAAGCGTACAAGCAAGGCTCTCAACCGTGCCCTCTGTCCATGCGCAGGAACTATGCACATAATCTAACAGACAGACAGAGGCCGTGTCTTCTGCTGTGGTCCCAAACTTTCGAGGCTGGTTGTGTCTGTTCCAGTTGCAAGTCTCACTGGGTGTCTTGTGCAGCCGGGGAGAGAGAAAGCATTTTATAGACACACAGCACACGTGCACCCAATCACACATGAAATCTGCCTTGTACTGAATCAGACCCTCGGTCCATCGAGGTCAGTCTTGTCTACTCGGACTGGCAGCAGCTCTCCAGGGTCTCAGGCTGAGGTCTTGCCCATCCCCTCCTGCCTGGTCCTTTTAATTGGAGATGCCGGGGATCGAACCTGGGACCTTCTGCATGCCGAGCAGAGGCTCTTCCACTGAGCCACAGCCCCTCTTCATGGCTCTCCAGGGTCTCAGGCTGAGGTCTTTCACATCAACTACTGCCTGGTCCTTTTAAACTGGAGATGCCGGGGATTGAACCCGGGACCGTCTGCATGCCAAACAGTTGCTCTACCACTGAGCCACAGCCCCTCTCCATGGCTCTCCAGGGTCTCAGGCTGAGGTCTCTCCCATCACCTGCTGCCTGGTCCTTTTAACTGGAGATGCCGGGGACTGAACCTGGGACCTTCTGCATGCCAAGCAGAGGCTCTGCCACTGAGCCACAGCCTCTCTCCATGGCTCTCCAGGGTCTCAGGCAGAGATATTTTGCATCACCTACTGCCTGGCTCTCTTTAACTGAAGATGCCGAGGATTGAACCTGGGACCTTCTGCACGCCAAGCAGGTGCTTTTTCACTGAGCCACGGCCCCTCACTCAAACACATGAAATTGCGTTATACTGAATCAGACCCTTGGTCCATGGAGGTCATTATTGTCTATTCAGACTGGCAGCGCCTCTCCAGGGTCTCAGGCTGAAGACTTTCCCATCACCTCCTGCCTGGTCCTTTTTACCTGGAGATGCCAGGGACTGAACCTGGGACCTTCTGCATGTCGTGGATGCTCTACCACTGAGCCACAGCCCCTCTCCATGGCTCTCCGGGGTCTCAGGCAGAGGTCTTTCGCATCACCTCCTGCCTGGTCTTTTTAACTGCAGATGTCGGGGACTGAACCTGGGACCTTCTGCATGCCAAGCAGATACTCTACCACTGAGCCACAGTGCCTTCTCCTTGTCTTATGCTGAATCACTCCATGAAGGTCAGTGTTGTCTACCCTGGCTGAAAGCGGCTGTCCAGGGTCTTAGGCTGAGGTCTTTCCCATCAGCTACTGCCTGGTCTTTCAAACTGGAGATGCTGGAGATGGAACCTGGGACCTTCTGCATGCCAAGCAGAGGCTCTACCAACTGAGCCATGGCACCTCCCCTCCTCAAACGTGGATACACACCTGGGCATACAGGTTCTGCTGTGGGTAGGCACTTCGTATGGGGTACATCGCAGTTTGGTATGGGTTCGGAGATGGCGAATAAGGAGGCGGTGCGCTGTTACTCTGGGTGGGCGGGACCTTGTAGGGAGTTCCGGCGGTGTACCCTGTTGAGAAGACAAGAAGCAAAAACTACATTAGGGAGATCCATGCCACCACCCCGTCAGGAATCTGATTTCAAGTGACAACGTGAATCCTGCAAACGTTTAAACCCTGGGCATGACCCCGAGGGAAGCCTCCCTGCGCGAGACACACACAGCAGCGGTTCCTAGTGGGCAGCATCCTTTTCATTAACTTTTAAGCAGAACCTATACTGAGAATTCAGATGGCTACAAGAATGCAAACGGTTTTCCCTGTTCTTTCGGGGGATTGGAGGCTCTCCAGCATCCTCCCATAGCAAATGTGACAACAGCCAATCCACATGCAAAAGAACCTCCTAAGGAAACCACCTCAGGAAACAATCCATATGCAAAAGAACCTCCTCAGGAAAGCTCCTCCATTGGCATGTTCACAGCCTGGGGAACTCCCATAAGATAATGACTCAGCCCTACCCCACCTTCCTGAGTAGATATAAATGACCTGCCTACCATTTTTCTTCTCACCTTGACACAGAGAGTCCTCCATCTATCTGTGTTATACCTCTGAGGATGCCAGTCACAGCTACTAGCGAAACGTCAGGTCCTACAATGCCAAGACCACGGCCACACAACCCGGAAAATCTACAACAGCTAATGAACTCCAGCCGTGAAAGCCTTCGACAACATAGCAAATGTGACTATCGAGGCAAACTTATGCTGGCCCAGCTGTTGATTTGTGCAGCGGAAGGAGACGCCGTGGAACCTACCCTGGATTTCCACAAGACAGATTCAAGCGGCTAAGCTGTGTTGGTCTTCTTCTTGAATATACCCCGTATGCCACAGGATTTATATCTGTAGCAAGCCAGCCAGAGATGGTGCTTGGACACAGTCAGGGCCAGTTTGGTGTAGTGGTTTGGAGTGCAGACTCTAATCTGGGGGGAACCGAGTTTGATTCCCCACTCCTCCAAATGCAGCTGCTGGTGTGACCTTGGGGCAGTCACAAGTTCTCTCAGAGCTGTTCTCTCAATGGCAGTTCTCGAAAGAGCTCTCTCAGCCCCACCTACCTCACAGGGTGTCTGTTGTGGGGAGGGGGAGGGAAAGGAGATTGTGAGCCGCTCTGAGACTCCTTTGGGTAGTGGTGGGCAATGTTCCCTCTAAGCTGTGGAGTCTTGTGAGCAAAAATTCTACTTTATGAGCGCCCTGGGGCAAGCCATAGTTCTGTCAGAGCTGTCCTCGAAAGAGCAGCTTCTCTCAGAGCTCTCTCAGCCCCACCGACCTCCCAGGGTGCCTGTGGTGGGGAGGGGAAGGGAAAGGAGTTTGTGAGCCGCCAGCTTAGAGGGAACACTGGTGGTGGGGTATAAATCCAATGTCTTCTTATTCTTCTTTATGAGTGAGACAGTTTCTTCTTCTTCTTCTTTATGAGTGAGCCAGTGTGGTGCAGTGGTTAAAGTGTGCGGACTCTAATCTGGGAGAACCGGGTTTGATTCCCCCACTCCTCCACTTGCACCTGGCTGGATGACCTTGGGCAAGCCGTAGCTCTGATAAGAGCTGTTCTTGAAAAAGAGCAGTTTCCGTCAGAGCTCTCTCAGCCCCACCTACCTCACAGGGTGTCTGTTGTGGGGAGGGGAAGGGAAAGGAGTCTGTAAGCCTCTCTGAGACTCCCTTGGGTAGTGAAGGGCAGGGTATAAATCCAATCTCCTCCTCTTCTTTTTCCCCTTATGAAAAAGTGTGTGTGTGTGCGGGGGGTGGGTGGGGGTTATACCAGCCATGGTGTACCCTGGTATATGCAGAGTGAGAGAACACGGGGGCTTTTTGGTAATCTTCTTTGCAAATTATGAAACCCAGCATACCCAGGTGACGACAGTCTAAGAATCGAAGGTGCGAAGAAGCACGTGCCGGAGCATGGAAGATCGAGACCGCTACGGTCCTCTCCTGTTGAACAGGTTTGGTTGGCTTCCTGCTATAGCGGTGCCAAGATCCAGGTGGGGTAGCCGTGTTGGTCTGAAGTGGCAGAGCGAAGTTGGAGTCCGGCGGCACCTTTAAGTCCAACAAACTTTGTTGGTCTTAAAGGTGCCGCCTGACTCAAAACTTTGTTCTAGGGCTTCCGCAAGGCTGTGAACAAGCCCTACATTAAAGCGTTGCTCTGGGAGGGGTGTAGCTAAGAAGAAGAGAAGAAGAGATTGGATTTATACCCCGCCCTTCACTACCCAAAGGGGTCTCAGTGGCTCACAACGGAGCTCTTCCGCCAGGCTTTTGAATAGGAGCCGCCACCACTAGTCCACCACTAGTCCACCAGCAGTCCATCATTAGTGCACTAGTGCACCACCATCGCACTAGCTACCATCTATCCCCCATATATGGACATCAAGATGGGGCATGCACATCTAGTTGCTGCATTATGGGCGAGAACGGGATGGTTAGGGATAGTCATCTTGCTTTTAGAAATTTTAGAATTTGCTAGGCATCAAAATCTGTTTTAAATAGGGCTGTAATTTAATATTTTGTATTGTTTTATGGTTTTATCTGGCAATATGCCCTGTAAGCCGCCCTGAGCCTCCGAGGAGGGCGGGATAAAAATGTGAATAATAAATAAATAAATAAAATAAACAGACATCCTTTGTGAGGCGGCAGGGTATAAGAGAGCTCTTGACAGAAACGGCTCTTTTTCAAAGACAGCTCTTATCAGAACAACGGCTTGCCCAAGGTCATCCAGCAGGTGCAAGTGGAGGAGTGGGGAATCCAACCCGGTTCTCCCAGATTAGAGTCCGCGCACTTAACCACTACACCAAACTGGCTAAGAGGAGCTCTCTGCGTTCCTCTTAACCCAGCTGCTCCCTGAAATCCAAGAATCTAGTCCCCCGTCCCCCACAACTTTAGGAACTGGAGTCTGTTTTGCTCAAAAGAGTAATCTGAAGACAGGACAGGCAGGAAGGGAGGCTCTACACAATATCGGAATTTCAATCTGCACATGCTCAGAGGCAGGCAATGTCTCCCCAAACCTCCCCACCCTCCTGGTAGAGCACCCTGCTGTGTTTATCACACACACATACACACAAACACTAACTCTGAAGGGGCTGAAGTCACAAAAGGGCACACAGAGGCACCTGTCCAATCTGTCAAATCACGTTGTTGGTCTCAAAGATCTAGCTCAAATCTAGCTCACCTACCCGTGCCCTCCTGAATCTAGAGGCGTATCAGAAAACGACAAAGAGAATCAAAGAGAAACGAAACAGAAATTCTTCTTTGCAAGAAGAAAATTAGAGGAATCATTGGCCGTGTTTTTTAAAAGGGGGTTCCAGAAAAGCAATCCCGCGCTCTGTAACGATACCGCCCGGGAGCAAGAGAAAGCCCCACAGAAATGGAGCCAGACTGGCCTCAGGATAACCCGCCTCCTGCCTTGTACCTGAGCCAATCAACCGCATCTCTCATGTCCAACCCTGATCCGGTAAGGCTACTGGGAGGGAGACGAGTTGGCTCAGACGCTACTCCATCCCTACTACTTGTGGCCTGAGAGTACATAAAGAAGAATGAGAAGAGATTGGATTTATACCCCGCTCTTCACTACCCGAAGGAGTCTCAAGAGGGGCTTACAAACTCCTTTCCCTTCCCCTCCCCACAACAGACACCCTGTGCGGTAGGCGGGGCTGAGAGAGCTCTTTTAGAGTCCGCGCACTTAACCACTACACCAAACTGGCTCTCTCATAAAGGAGAAGAAAAAGAAACTGGCTCACTCATAAAGAAGAATAAGAAGAGATTGGATTTATACCCCGCTCTTCACTCCCCGAAGGAGTCTCAGAGCGGCTTACAAACTCCTTCCCCTTCCCCTTCCCGCAATAGACGCCTTGTGAGGGTAAGTGGGGCTGAGAGAGCTCTTTCAAAGACTGCTCCTGAGAGAACAGCTCTGACAGAACTATGGCTTGCCCAAGGTCATCCAGCAGCTGCGAGTGGAGGAGTGGGGAATCAAACCCGGCTCTCCCAGATTAGAGTCTGCACACTTATCCATTGCACCAAACTGGCTCAGCTCTCCCACTTAACCACTGCACCAAACTGGCTCACTCATAAAGAAGAAGAAGAAACTGGCTCACTCATAAAGAAGAATAAGAAGAGATTGGATTTATACCCCGCCCTTCACTACCCAAAGGAGTCTCAGAGCGGCTCACAATCTCCTTTCCCTCCCCCTCCCCACAACGGACACCCTGTGAGGTAGGTGGGGCTGAGAGAGCTCTCTCAAGAACTGCCCTTGAGAGAACAGCTCTGAGAGAACTTGTGACTTGACCCAAGGTCACACCAGCAGCTGCATGTGGAGGTGTGGGGAATCAAACCCAGTTCCCCCCAGATTAGAGTCTGCACTCCAAACCACTACACCAAACTGGCTCTGACTGTGTCCAAGCACCGTCTCTGGCTGGCTTGCTACAGATATAAATCCTGTGGCATACGCGGTATATTCAAGCAATACATAAAGATGAACAACAGACTATGAGGCACATCTGCTGAGCCTCGGTCCCTGGGGGTTCCTGCTTGTCGTTTGCCTGCTTGCAAAAATGTCACGCCGGACTTACTTGAAAGGACAGCTTTGTGCCTCTGGACAAAAGAACTGGGGCACGCACACAAGGGGCCTTGCTTTTTCTATGCCGGACCGACAAGGAGTGGGTGTTAAAATGTGGTTCCGTACTCACAGTTCCCTGACACAGATCGGAATCGGAGCTGCGTGCGGAATGCAATGAAAGGGTGGGTTGCACAGTGTGCGAAGGAACGCCAGTGTGGCGCAGAGCTGAGAGCTGGGCTAGGAACTCGGGAGGCCCAGGTTCCAATCTCCCACTCAGCTGCGGGAGCTTGCTGGGCGAGCAGTCACATGCTCTCGGTCTCACCTACCTCGCAGGGTTGTTGTGAGTATAAAAATAGAGGAGAAGAGGATGACGTAAGCTGCTTTGGGTCTCCGGTGCAGAGAAAAGCGGGGTAGAAAGGAAGCCAACGATATAGCTACACGGCAGGTAAGCAACGCTAAGTGAACTTGAGAATGTGTGTGTCCC